AAAATACTCCTAATGTCATCCACAAGCAAGCCCTAGCAGATCTTGGTACGTCTCTTCCATTCTCTCTGTTTTTCACATCAGTTTGTGTATTATTTTTACAGAATTCTCACCATGCGCGGTTTGCCGCGACACTTGTCCCCATGTGCCACGACATATAGTACAGAGAATGAAGCTCTCGCCTGATGGCTTTATGCATCACAACATATGGCACAAAGGCTATTTAGCATATTTTTCTCCACTTTTTAGTCCTTAAGTGACCCAATTTCACTTTGGACCTAAATTATACTTAAAATTCCAACTAAAAACACTTATTACTCTTCTCTGACCACACGTCACATCCACTTACATAATTATCCTTATTAGTCTTAGTAAATTAGGGAATTAAAAGTCGGGATGTTATAAAATATAATTCAAATTTTAGTAACCCATTACATGTGTGCACGTGTGCATACACACTCACATATATCAAATAAGGGAATGAGGTGTGAGATTACTTACTAACGAGACAATAAGGGTTGGAGGAGATTTTTGATCAAAGCTTCCCATAATCACACATAAGCACTATGGTGATTCTTGAATCAAGAAGAATAAGAGAGATAAAAATGTAGGGGAAAATAAAGAACTAGTGGATTGGACATTGTGCAATAATGAACCAATTCCCACAACAGAAAATAGAAGGACCCACGACACGACACCAATAAAGGGAGAGGTAAAAACAGCCGACGACATAGATAGATGGTGGATAGACAAGCTGATCAACAACTTGCAATAACGAGCTATTAGTGATGCAAAGTAGGAGAAAAAGAAGAAGGAATTGACACACCTATCAACATAGACAAAGGTGGAAGAATTCGACACCTTGGAATCACTGACGTTGGATAGAACATGAAGAAGGAAGAAGATAGAGATGGCAGAGGATTCTAGGTTGAAGCTTTCAACTAGTTTAAAGAAAAGATCCAATTAAATAAAAAAACATGATGCTATAATAATTTTAAAACAGAGGGCAGTTTGATAATTTCATTGAAGACTAAAATAAAACAAAATTCCCCTCTTACCAGGATTCAAACCACAAACCTAATAAATAAGTTATTAGCACAACCTCTATCAGACCAACTCTTCCTCTTATTAAATCTATCCTAAAATTAATAAAATAAACACTTAAAATGGCATACTCTCTGTGTGTGTGTGATTGTGTGAAAATGGCATACTCTGTGTATGTGTGTGTGTTACAGTGAGTAAGCCCTCAAGGATGTTAGAAGATTTGTGTTTGGTCCAAGCAACATATAGTTTAGGAGAAGGAAGGTGGAATAGAGGATGAGTTGTAAAGGAGGACGTGACAATGGCAAAGGTAGCAATGGGATTTCGGGGATCCCAATGGTGTCGAGGAAGATGGTTCTGAGCTTGAAGGAGATTGTCCATAATTTCCCTAAGGATGAGATCTATGAAATGCTTAAAGAGTGTAACATGGACTTTAACTAAGTTATTAGTCACCTCTCCCAAGGTTCTCTCTTCAATGGTTTATACTCTTTCCTCGTGTTTGAGATTGTTTTAATTAACATTTTATTGGTGTTTTGCAAGTAAGATCTACTTTGACTGAATGAACTCTAATTCATCAACTACTTCAGTTGTATCTTTATTGTACAAGGTACTATTCTCTCTCAGATTTCAAGTTATTGTGGATTTTATTTAACTATACATCTAACTTTATTGAATTGGTAGAAACTACAAGCTTGGTTCTGATCCCCACTTGATAAATTCTATTAATTGTTACATTGGAGTAATTTAAACCCAGGTTTTGAATGTTATATTAAGCTACTTTTTTTTTAAGAAAAAAGCATCATTGCCAATCTTATATTAAATGTGTAACTCCATTCATCTCCAATTTTACATTCATTGCTTGTTTTAAAACTTTTTCAAGATAGTAGCCCATGCATTGTTAAGACTGGTAGGCTTAAGAGGAGCTTCCTATTATAGCATCTAATTGTTCAATAAATGAAATAATAGGCAAGACTTATCTATTTGCCTAGTTTTTATTAACTGTAACTAATGCATGCACTAAACATTCTCTTGCCCAACCCACTTCTTCCTCTATTTTTTTTTTTCATTTTGCTAATTAATCAATATGGTTATAGCTGCTATAATTTAGGGTTACAATTGCCAAATTTAGCAAGTGATTTAAGAGAAATTGAAGAAGTGGCAAAAGAATGGGAGCACATACTTTCGCAAAATAATATGGATAGAGAGTTACATGGGTTGAATAGACTCTTAGAGCAGAAAGAGTTTATCATGATGCATATAAGATCATCATCCTTAAGTTCTAACACCGACACATACTATACACCAGTCATAATACATTTTAATTAATATGACCATGTGCAATTTCTACTAAATCATGTTTCTCACATATATCTTTTTTTGTTGTAATTTAATTTTTCTTCAATTTGATTCTCTTATGAGGTTGTAAACCATTGTAAGGTTTAAAACTTGAGTCCCACATTGGAAGTATGTGACTAGAGTTTTCTTTCTCTTCTATTTTTTCTAATTTCACTAAATGATGCCTATAATAGATTAACTGTTACCCTTCTTGGGTGCTCAATGCTTTGCATTCCCTTCTCCTTTATTAAGTTGATCCCTATTTATATAGTGCTCTGTTATTAGAATTTAAAATGAAATTAGATTTCATATATGTGTTATATAGCTACATCATAAATGTGATCCATTGGAATTATATTTTTACACCATGCAAATGGTTTTCTTGGTGATATGAATGATTTAAAGTTTTCTTTCATTTTATTACTTGTGTAGCCATGTCAACGTTGGATACTAATGAATATTCTCAGTGGTCATTATTGCATTGTTATAGGTAAATCTTAATTACACCAACTTAAAGCATAAAAAACATTTGAATACCAACAAATCCATTTATCATTAAATAGTAGCATGTTCTTGCATGCCTTGAAAACATAAACTACGTTATATTACATGATATTACATCTCTTGTTAGCTTTGTATGTCTAGTTCAATACTTCAACATAACTTTCATAAATTACACCAATTTTCCACGCACGCGTATTTGATAATGGCTTGCAATTATTCCAATTTAAGCTCCTTCAAGCAAATTGCCAATTTAGACTTAACTTTGTCATGAATGCTCCATTTCATATGTTCATCATTTCCTTCTTGTTGATCAAATAACATGTTTAAGAAGAGAGACAAAAGCACTTTCTTGATCGTAGCTTTATTATCAACCTAAAATCAACACAAAATTTGTTAGATTCTAGAGCATAATAAAACAAAATGGAATTATACATACTTCATTTAGACAAATAGAATAGTATTAAAGCAATTATATAAATTAGACATCTATCATTTCTTACAATTTGTGTGTCAACATCTATCACCAAGAAGCCGACTAAGCTTATACTTCCCATGAAGCAAAGTTGAGTGATTGTCTTTGCATTGTGTAGCTATTCTTTTCTAATTCAAAAGGGAAAAAATCCACTACAAAAGGGGGGAAAACAAAAGCAATAAAATTTGGATAGGATATTTACAAAAAAAGGAGATCAGGGTTTGACCTACTTGCCATTGTAACCACAAAAGCACATCATCCTTCACACCCTCTTTCATCATATTCAAAACCAATACATCACCTTACTCTCCTTTATCATTATTGCCCTTGGAATCATGACCATTATCGTCGTCGTTAGAATCACGGAGTTGCGACGGGCACAATACTAGAAATAGCATAGAAGTGGAAGAGGAGAGATGGGGATTTGGTGAGGGGTAATTTAGTTATTTCATTTTTAAATATATTGGCACTGAAGGACTCAATTTCTTCCCTAGGGGTGTTCACAGGACGAGACGGGATCGGGACACCCCCGTCCCATGTCCTGTCCCGAAAAAAAGATCGAGACTAAATTTTGGTCTCGTGTCCCGTCCCGTCTCGAAAGTCGTCCAGTCCCGTTAAGAGTCGGGACGGGATGGGGACAAGATCGGAATGTCCCGCCGTCCCGATAAATGAAATAATATCAAAAAAAGATCTGGATAATAACGTTCATTAAAATTTTAAATCATATAATTTATTAAGTTTAAAATCAAAACAACACAAGCACATAAATAACAATAATTTAAAATCAATTATTGAATTATATTAATCATAACTACACATTATAATAACAAGTACAAGTGATCTTTATGCTATAAGATTAGCAACAACAGGCAAGTCAAATACAATATCAAATCATTGTTCTTCTACTTTAGTGAAGATATACTAAGCTAATTACTCTTCTAAAAATAAGCAAGAAATATGTAGTAAATAAAAGTTATTAAATAGATAGATATAAGAATAAATTATATTAATATAATTAATATATTATAAAGAAATATATCGCTATGTTTACTCCATGCTATTAAAATTATCAATATAAAAAAATTATAGTTTTAAATAAGAATTGAAAGTATTAAAATTATAATTGATATAATTAATATAAGTATAAATTATATTAATATAATTAATATATTTAACATAAAAAATAATATATATAATATTCGGGACGGGACGGGACGTCCTGATGGTAATCCCATGTCCCGTCCCATCCCATCCCGAACCCTTTTCCTATCCCGTCCCGTAAAGTCCCGTCCCGATTATTTTCGGGCCAGGATAAGATCCGTCTCAATATGATTGAAACAATACCGGATCAATCAGGATAGATTTAGACCAAACACCCCTGTTCTTCCCCCAAATTCTAGTGTCTTACGGGCAATAAATATCCTTGTCGAGTTTATTTAGCAATTTCCCCATAGCCAAATGTGCACTTAAAAGCACAAACCCCAAAACGGACAAAATCAATTTACTCTTTTGGTCGAACGCTATAGGCCAAGGGATTTCATTTCAGGGGCAAAATTGTAAATGCAGGTACAGTTGATTGGAGGTGCAGCTCCCGCTCGCTCGTGTTTTCAAATCAAAAAACAGGAACAGCCGAACAGGCCATTCCCTCTTTCTGCCCTCGTTATCCTAGGGTTCTGCTCAGCGGGAATCTCTTTCGATTCTTTTCCAAACATCTTAATGTTTAGCTATCATCAATGGCGAAGGAAGCTCAGGGTTCTGCTTTAGTTGATCCTCTCGCCAACTATTGGGGACTCTCCCTCTTTCCTCAGACATCCAGCGTGCAGCCCAATCCTTCAAGGCCCTATAACCCAGACGTAGACCTTGACACCATCCACAATCATCTCAGATCCATGGTATTCTGAATTTGCTTAATTTTGTCCTTAAGTTTCCGTCTTTTCTTATTTTGCGGCATATTGCGTTTCCTTCTTCCTTCCTATAGAGCCTTCGTTCGCGGGGGTCGTTTTCTTCTGGAATTCTTATCTGTGACTACTCCTTCTGCTTCTCCTTCTTTCTATGATACTCTTTCTTCTATTTCTTAATAGTGGGGTATTTCTGTTTTGAAGAACATTGTAACGTTGTGACTATTGTTTAAATGTTACTCTCATTGTGATTGAGTTGTTTTTCAGCATTAGTTTTAGGGTAACCATGACAATCTTTCAATCTTAGACTTAGACCTGCATTTAGGTGTTTAACGAAATTTTAATAAAACGGAAGTTCGATTACATTGAGTTTCTTAAACTTGGTTTTCTTAGCTGATGAATTATGTTGCTCTGCTAGCGTGGAGTACATCGGAAAATGAAATACACGGCACTCTAGAGTTTATAGACTATCTAATCGAGGGAACACTGGGAAATTGGCTAGGAAATCGATATGAAAATTCATTTTTACTTCTTTTTTAAGATATCATCTTTAATATGCGTTGTAGAAGCTGGAATATGCATGTCATTTTGCTTGATTTCTCCTTCTTTTACTTTCCGCTGTTCAACTGTGTTGTTATTTAAAGTGAATGCTCAATGGGATTTCCTTATCTAGAACCATAACAATCAAGAGAGAATATATATATATATATATATATATTTCTAATTTATATTTCTCTGTAAATTTAAAGATAATTTACTCAATTCGCAGAAATGATCTGAGCCAGGTTTTTGAAAAGGCGGTTTTTCCCCCCTCCCCCGCATTCTCCCATTTGCTATGCATTGCGAAATCTTTCAAACCTTACAGAATTAAAGACTTAGCGATTGGTTTCAACGTTGATGTACAAACAAATGGAAAAAAAAATCATTTGAAATTTATGGTTTTTTTTATTTAATATTGTCTTGAAAAAGAAAAATTAGAGTGATTGGAAATAACTTTTTATCGACATAAGGGAAACTTCAAGTTTTATATTGCTTTGGCAGGCCTTGGGAAGTCCCAGTAAACTTCTGAAGCAGGCTAAGTCCATAATAGATGGTAATCCAGGACTAATCAACGCTGAAGTATTCGGTGATTCAGCATCTTATGAGATAAATGATGTTGTTTCGGAAGAAGCTCCGGAGAATCCACGAGAACGGAGGCCGGCATTAGGCCACAAGCGTGCCCGTTTCTCTTTGAAGCCAAATAGAAAGTATAGCACTCCCTAATCCCCCCTCCGTCTTCTATTTCCTTCCTTGCATATGTTTTTATCATAATTTTTCAAAAAGAAAAGGTTTCTACTAAGCTAACTGTAGATTGAATGTGTGTTCTAATGCATCTGTCTGACAGTCATCCTAGTGAGATTTTGAAACCAAGTATTGACATTGATAATCTGAAAGATCCAGAGGAATTCTTCAAGGCCCATGAACGGTTAGAAAGTAAGTTGCCCTTTGTTTCTCTTTGTATATGCCTAGTGGACGCTATTCTGAATCTTCTTCTCATTGGACTTATAATTAATGCGTAGATGCAAAAAGAGAAATACAGAAGCAAATGGGCAATGTATTGTTTGAATCAAACGAGAACCATGCATCCACTAATGCACGGCAACGTCGTCCTGGACTCATGGGGAATAACCAGAGGTACTATCAGGACTCTAGGCGAAATATACATAAAAGTATAGAGTGGGTGCCTATCTTATTCTGTTGTTTATCTGTTTAAAATTTTCTTACTACTATTTGGGTCAGGAGGTCAGTCAGATACAGACATCGGTACTTAATACAAACTTCTGACCATAAGGAGAGTATCCTATCATCTCAAAAGACACATGAATCTGGCGGCCTTGATGCTGTTCGTGAGAGCCCGGAAAAAGCTGAGGCTTATCTTGCATCACCGAGGAGTGAACTAGCTGGTGAGTAAAATTCCATTACTAGAATGAAATGGGCAGTTACTACTATCATCGCTGTGTGGATAGTATTTTGTCTTTCATCATCATTCTACTAATGACATTAATAAAATTATTAATATTAATTATTGATGGCCCTCAATTAATAATATAAGATTTGGACTGAAATAATCCTTAACATAGCAATTTTATCCTTGGCGTCCTCACATTTAAATTTCTGTTTTGTCCACCTTTCAAGTGCAAAAGGATGTTCTATGAATGGCGTGCTGGAGATTATAAAAAAACTATTGATATTAACGAATCTCTACAATTCAAACATTTGATTTAAGTTGAATTCATCCTTCAGGCATCCAACAATAGTGCTTTCATCCCTCTATTATTTTTCATTCTTTATGTTTCATACTTAATTTTGATCCTTCCCTGTTTGTATGCTGAAATTTTGCTGCAGATTCATCTGCCATAAAAGAGAACAACCACAATAACATATTGGATGAATTGCTACATAACAGCGAAGATCTAGAGGAAGATCAAGCAATCACTCTTTTGCAGGAGAGCTTACAGATCAAACCCATTGTTTTAGAGAAGTTATCCATTCCAAACTTGCCTGAAAACCGAGTGACTGAATTGAAAACTTTTGTAGGGAACTTGTCAAAGCCAAGGAAGCCTTTAATGGACATAGATAATTTGTTTAGAGAGATGAATAATGTAACCCCTGAAAAGCCTAGACAGAATGTAGGAAACCCTTGGCAGCAATTAGCATCACCAACCCCACCAAGAAGTCCATTTGCTCTATTGGCATCATTGCAGAAGCGTCTTTCACAGTCAAAGCCATCTGTTGATTCATTTTCTGCTCTTGATGGTACACATTCATCCACAAAAAACCCTTCTCAAATTGATATGACCGAACAGAGACTAAATCTCATTGATGATGGGAAGCCATCTGATAAATTAAATGAACCTTTAATCAAAGATAATCAGAGTTTAGCCATGAAAACTGTCAGCAATTTTGCCATGACTTCTGAAATATCTAGGGAAGACAATTTGGGGAAACATGCTTTTGGCACTAATATTGACTCAGAGCATTCCCGCCTTGATCTAGAGGTGGATGCTAAAGGTGGAATTATGGAAAAGGCTATCAATGACATAGTGAGCATGCTAAATTCGGCGGCAAATGACCCTCGTAAAGAAGACACTGTCAGAACTTGTGCCAATACTTCTGAAAGTTCCAAGGAAGTTAATCCAACTGAACCTGCTTTTGCTACTGATGTTGACTCAAACAAGTCTCATGTTAATGTGGAGGCATATGTAGGTAACCAATTTGTGGGTGATACAACTAGCAGGGCAAATTATGAGGCAAATGAGCCCCTTAAATTGATGGAGGACACTGTCAGAACTTGTGCTGGTACTTATCAAAACTCCAAGGAAGATACTTCAACAGAACCTGCTTTTGGTATTAATATTGAATCAAATCAATCTCATGCTGACATGGAGTTAGATGTTGGAGGTAGTGATGTGGGTGGCCAGTTTGTGGTTGATACAATAAGCAGGAACAATGAGGTAAACGAATCCTATAAATTAAAGGATGACACTGTCAAAACTTTTTCCAGTACTACTGGAAACTCCAAGGGAGATAATTCCAGCGAACCTGCTCTTGGCTCAAATGTTGACTCAAATATATCTCATGTTGACATGGAGGTTGATGTTGGAGGCAGTGATGTGGGTAACCAGATTGATCATGATACAATAAGCAGGGCAAATGAACCTGGTGAATCTGCAGACAAAGTAGGTTTTTATTCAGGGCTCTATAGATTTTATCTTATGTGATTGAAAAAATGTTTTAAACCTGAATGGTCAATTGTGTTATGATAAGGTACAGGTGCCGGATGTGGTGTATTCTGAACAAACATCTGTTCCTGAGTTCAACGTAGTGAATCCACAAGGTATTGATATACTTAACTGTCCCTATATATTATTTTTTAAAAATTAATGCCAAACCCAAACATCATTAACTGCGTTACTTGGCTCAGCTATCTTCTGTGCGAGCTAGTTTTGTAAGATTGTGCTTTTAAACATAATGGGGAAAATACTTAGGCTTAGGTGATGCGTTCAGCTATAAGGCTATGCAAAAATTTCCATGGATCAGTAGGAGAGAGCTGATCCTTCACATGCACCATTGCTTCTAAACTGAAGAGATAGTATGATTTTATTTTGTCCTATATATTTTCATTTTCCTTCCATGAAGCATCCTTTTTTGCTGCATATGGCATATCTTTTCTTACCAATTGACCGAAGTTGCTATGGTGTACTCGACAGAACAATAAGCTTGTTTCATGAACATGCAAGTTGCAAGACTTAAACAAGACTATAACATAACCTGCAAATAAGTTTCCTTTCAATCCAAAGATCAGAAAAGCATCTGCTTATAAATTTATTATGAATTAATTTTTTTTATTTTCGCTGTTCTAACTCAGTTATCATCTTGTCATCAGATCAATCGGGCAATGCTTTCTTTGACGCCAATTCTGGGGATGGAAACATCAATACTTCAGATGATGGTCCAGGACAAAATTCACAGGTAACTAGCTTCCCAAAGAATCTTTCCTGTTTCTTCAGTCTAATCTATTTCCATCTTGGTTGAATCATTGCATTTTATGTCATATTTACATGTTTGATTTAGGAACACAATTCAACTGTTTGTAGTACAATTTAAGTATACATTTTCTTTTTGATTGTCTTAGTTTTCTTATTTCTTATGGTCATCATTTTATTAATTCAATAGATGCTGTTTAGGTTCAGGGGCAGTAACTAGGTAGTGATCATCTTAGATTGTTCAAGAGCTTTGTCCTTGTTTGGGATTAGGTATTTCCATCATAACGACAGTTAGATTTTTTGAGAAAGTGGAAAAAAATATACAGAGATCTAGGTGCCCCTTTTTTATATAAAAAGAGATCTAGGTGTTGCGCATAAGCTATGAAAGGGGGGGGGGGGGAAAGGAACACCGCAGTTACATCATTAGATATGGATTAATCATAATTTTTTAGATCCTTTGGAAGAAGACAATTGTACTTGATTACCGTAATGGTATACTTTCTTATGATAGGAGTCAATATTTTATAAGTTGACTTTAGCGGTCCTTCCAAGTCTAATCTATTTGACTAGCAAACTAGACATTACCGTTTGCATTATGTCAAACGGTATCCTGCAGAATTGAACTGCATAATGAATTCTGGCAAAGTTTCTTATTATTTTCGCATCGTAAAAACTTTGCTTAAGCATTGGGCAACTGCACCATTATTCCACAATCCATGCTTCTGTCTGATTTGATGCATGAATATTTTGCATCAGTGATTCAGAGTATAAGTTGATGTATGAATTGTACTATCGGCATGAACCTTGAGCTACAAGTTTTTGGCATTGTTTTTAACTCCAATGTATTCCATTTCTATTTTCTAGTACTTGCTTTAATGCTTTTAACAAAAGTTAATGATGAGGGTAAATGAAAACACACTACAAGTCTAGCTGCTTATAGTTGAATTGTTTTTTATTTTTTAAGGTACAGGAAAATATAGGCGATTCCCAAGTTCCACTAAATGAGCAAAGAAAAGTTAAATCACGAAAACGCAAAGACAAAGGACTTTCTCGAAGGCAGAGCCTTGCAGGTTTGAACTCTATTAATTTACTCCATTTATCAAAGTTTGCTTTTGTTGGTATAAACAGTGAAGTAATCTGTGTATCATCCCAGTGGCTGGTACATCGTGGAAATCTGGGGTAAGGCGAAGCACTAGGATCAGGTCAAGGCCTCTGGAATACTGGAAAGGAGAGAGGCCTGTGTATGGTCGTATACATGAGAGTGAGTACAATCATAATGCTTTCTTATGGACATGCATTTGGTGAATCTGAGATTTTTGGATGTTATCAAACTAGGAAAAATGCCGGTATATTTATTTATTTTTATTATTATAAAGAATTTTTTATAAAATATATTTGGCTTTTTAATTGAAACCAATTCAATACTATATTTTTGACTTATTGTGAGGAATCCAGTTGTTTTCCCCTCGCGCTATTGATGAAGTGCTATTAGCAGTTGCTAGGATATCGAAGATTTAATCATATGCAATTAGATGGTTTTTTTTTAACTTTATCTTCAGAAAAGTGAATAAATGTACTTATTCAATTACTCATTATGCCCGCCTTTAGGGTGTAGGGATATTTTGATTACTGATGTATATTGATCTGTTTCATCTGTGCATTGTTTTGGTCGGGGTCTTGTATTTCCCAAAAAAAACAAAAGAGTAAAAATTTTATTTGCTAATTAATCATTAAAAAAAGAACGAATTCTTGTGTCTGATACAAGATTTTGACCTTGCAGGTTTGGTAACTGTGATTGGGGTGAAGTGTTTGTCTCCTGGAACTGCTGATGGAAAGCCTAAAATGAAGGTGAAATCTTATGTTGCTGAAAAGTACAAAGGGCTCCTGGACCTAGCTTCTCAATATTGACAGTTTTGTAATGAGAGTAATTTCTAGTACGTCCTTGCTTAGTATGTATCATGCACTATATAATCAAAGGTGCTGTAAAAGAAGCCACGTGGCAATTGAATTTCATGTTTAGCCATTAAGTCGTTCAATTTTTTGTTTCAAAATGTTTATTTTCTTCAAAACATGCCTAATTTTATTCCTATAAAAATATGCTTCATAATGACCAATGGTGAGTCATAAAAGAAGATATGCTCCAAGGAAGAGACAAATTTACCTTGACATGGAATGGAAGTCAAACATTTTCAAAATCTACTGCAATAAGATGCGTCTATGAATTATAACTTGATGCAATTAAGAAGAGACAATGTTGAGAAAAAAATTTATTACTATATCTTTACCCTATATTTAGAATTAAATAGGGTTTTAAAATTTTCATATAATTAGGCTCAGAGGGAGTACACTAATTAGCCCCAGAAACAAAACTGAAGAACACACGATTTTGAAAAATAGAACGTGAATATGATTAGGGTACCTGAGAATCCAAGGAAGGCACTGTGAAGCGACGGCACAGTGGACACATAGAACTTACAAGAAACCAATGAACAATACATTTTCTATGATAAATATGATTACATGGCGTCACTAAAACATCATCATTGTCTTCAAAAGATTCCAGACAAACACTGCACTGTTCTTCTTTTGTTTTCTCATCCAATTTCAGTTCCTTCAATGATCGCATAGAATTTGGCCTCATCAACGGCTCTTCCATGAGCTCATCGAAGTTGAACCCATCGCCATCGTCAATCGCGTGGTAAGGACTGGACTGATCGGCATCAAAACTGAACTCATCGCCACCGTCGACCATGTGGTTAGGACTGGAATGATCGGCGAAAACGACGTCGTCGAAGAAACTTTCAAAAGGTGCCGCAAATTCGTACAAGACTTGTGTGATGATTTCTTTCCACATCATGGAAAGATCTCAATGGCCAAAGAACTGAAATTAAAAGATGTGTATTTGCTTTTGAATTTTTATATATGAGTATCTGTACTTTTAGTGTACGTTTCCAGTATTTTAATTGATTTTCTTATCCTAATCTGATGATAACTTAAATATAATTCAAATTAAATTGGATTTTCTTAGATAAGTTTTGTTTATAGATGAGTTGCATGCAATTCTAATTATATTGAATTTCAATTTACAGAGATTTGAGGATATCAATCAGTTGAAAATTAAATTATATTTTTAATTTGATATTTATCGATCAAAGTTTTAGTTAACTTTTGAGGATAATGATGCTATGAATAGCCGAATCTTAAGGTACAAAACTTGTTAATTCTAACTTCTGAATCATACGACAGCGTGTGAAACAGAAAACAGTTTAATTCAACCCCATTAACTAAAACAGTATGATAGTTTAATTAGTCGAAATTTAAAGCACTGAATTCTATTTGTAGTTCTATTAAATTAAATAAGATATTCTAAAGACAGAATAAAAAGATCTTTTTCCCTCAGTATCTCATGAAATAATTTCTACTTTTAGCAAAATCTACTCCTTATGAAAAATGTAGAGTTAAAAATACATTTAAAAATATAAGTTTGTTTGATTCTATTTTCTATTTTTGTGCTCCTTAAACAATTTTATCAAATAGTTTTTCAAAGTAAGTTTTAGAAATAAAAATAGAAAAATATGTTTAGATTCATTACTCTAATTTATATCATGAGAAAAGCTTATATATTTAGTATCATATATTCAAGGTATTTGTTTTCAATTAAATCACGATATGTATATCTTTTAGAAATTACTTATTTCACAACAAGCTATTATTATTGATACTATTAATACATTTAAATTTATTTATTTTGATTTGATTGGATAAAAGTATATTAATTGTATAAACTTACATAAATAAATCTTGACCTTGTGTCAAATCACTTGGTATTCGGCAGTCATATATAATTGGATTCCAACTAATTATGCGGATGGAGCTGAAAATAATCACAAGGATGTCAAAGTCCTTTCAATGAGGATTTCATGCAACTGGATTCAGAGTTCGAACTTGAAAGAAGAGGTTCTATAGTTGGAACTGCATTGACAAGTTGTCATTAAATGAGACATTCTCCAAGTGGCATCAAGCCACTAAGTATTTGGTAGTCATATAATTGGGAGTTCGAATTCTCTAAAGTTAAAAATATGTGAATTTCATTAATAGGAGTTGAATCTAATAAAAGAAATTAATTCCTCACAATATAATAAATTAACATTAGAATCCCCATTGGGAGAAGTGGCCACATTTAATATCTAATCATACTTCAAACAAAATTGTCTCTAATAAGAAGATACTGTGAGCAATAAAAAAAATATAAATTTTATGAAATTTACCTTTTTAAGAGTGGGAATATTTTGTATTTTATGAAAAATAATGAAATAAGAAAAATACCAAAAAAAATAAAAATTCACACAAATTCATAATTAAATTTCAACTTTGGAGAATTTAAATTCTCATTGGACTCCCACTAATTATGCACGTCGAGCTGAAAATAATCACAAGAATGTCAAAACTCTTTTAATGAGGATTTCGAACAAGCGCATATTCAAAGCTCAAATCCAAAAAGAGAGGTATTAAAATCTTTTGAAGTTAAGATTGATGCATTCACATGAAATTCCTTTTTTTTTTGCAGTATTTTTGCTCATTGTATTGTTTTTTATAAAACATAAAATCTTCTCTTTCTTTCTTAAAGTGAAAAACTTTATATAAATTCATCAATATCAACTTCAGAGAACACTATAAGAAAATTGTGATTAGTGACAGATAATTTGTGACAAATAAAAATCTGTCACTAAAATAAATCCAAAAAGCTTCTATAGAGTTACTTCGACAAGGCATCTCCTCATAATTAAAAGGCAATATCCTTGGCAATGCTTCTAAGCACATATTTTTATCCCTATAATTAAGGCTGACTTTTAATTCTGATGTCAATGGCTCGTGGCTTGGCCTTAATATAACCACAAGCTTCTCATCAACTTGCCAGGCTTTCAATTCTTTAATTTGTAAGTTTATGAAACACGCACACACAAAAGTAAGCTTTATAGTTTGCATATATAATATTTTCAAGCATCTATAGAACCAAAGAACATATAATGAATAGAAAAAACAGAGACTGTAAATTGATTAATGTAAGTTATGTAACTACGAATCTGAGAGAGGCACTGGGAAACGACGACACAACGGACACATGTAACTTACATGGAACCAACGAACAATACATTTTCTATGATAACTATGATGACATGGCACAGCCAAAACATCTTCATTATTATTTTCTCCAAAAGATTCTACACAAATGCTGCATTCTTCTTCTTTTGCTTTCTCATCCAATTTCAGTTCCCTCAATGATCGCATAACCAATGACTTTTGTGCAACCAATTCTTCTCTCACCTCATCCAAAAAATCAATCTCATCGTCATCCTATTTCCCACTGCAGCGGCCATTGATCATGAATGGATTTAGATCTTCTTCATACTCAAAATGAATCTGAAATTGGTGACGATGATTAAAAAATCCCCGGCGATCACCATTGAACCTGGTGTGGAAGCGATTTTCACATAATGTAGCAATTTTATTGAAAATAGTGAGGAAGAAATCTTCAAGTAGTGCTGCAAATTGAATGTAGCAATGTGATTGGATTTCATCCAACATCATGAAATTAATTAAGGATCCTCAAAGGCCAAAGCGTTGAAATTAAACTAATTAAATATACTATATATATATATATATATATATATATATATTGTTTCGACGGCAATCGGCTTTGTTTTTGGTAGTTTATGATTGTTTTTATCATATCATAATCTGATAATTAAATCCAAATTAAAGTGAATTGCTTTTGTAGTTACACCTTAAGATATATGCTGAATTATAGATACATATTGGAGAATATTCTAATTAGATATAATTATTTTAAATTTTGAATCAGAGATCGAGATTTGATGGAGGGTGTTGGTCAGTTGAGATTTAAATTAGCATATATTGTTACATTGGATGTTTAATTGTCAAAGTTTTAGTTTGTTAAAGCGCATAAGGGATAGTGAACTATAATTAAGTATTTTAATTGAATAGACGGTAAATCATGTAAATCATGTGAGACATCTTGTTTATGTAAATGTTTTCCATACTATCAATGGATAACCAAATCTTAAAGGTAGAAAAATCTTACAACTTCTTGATTCATATATACGACAACGTGTAAAATTTATAAATATAAATATATATATATATATATATATAGAGAGAGAGAGAGAGAGAGAGTAATTGATTAATTCACCACAGGAGAAGTTAAAAAGTGTGATAATATTAAGGTACTAAAAATCAGATTGGCCATTAAACCAATCAAGCTAATGGGTTACGGGTTAGTAGTTCAATCTAAGTTGAAACGAGGGTCAATTCAGAAGGCAAACCAATCATGATTAAAATAATGCAATTTAAATAAAAAGATATTAGTTATGAAAATATTTAACCAAATCTAAGATTAATCTCTAATACAAGATATAAATACAACATTAATTATGGAATTATAACTACTCAAAAGTCTAACAATAATAAAATACAACTTTTTAAATATTCATTCTTACAATTACAATTTACAGCTCTTTAAATGCTAATCGAAAACTAATTGTCACCAACACTAAAATTATCAATAATGACAGTTATAATTCATAAATGCTAAGCAACAATCAGACAAATGAATAACAGCAAATAATAAAAGATTAAAACAATTAAGGCACAATTAATCTAAAAGAATATTGAATCTTTTAAATTTAGAGGCTCTCTATTCGAAATTCAAACTACAGGTAATGAAATCTAATTTAATTATCTTGCCCTCCATTGCCTTGCTTTTTTAATTTTCAAGTTGAATGTTTTACTTTTTATTTAGTTTTTACGATTTTAAAAAAATAAAAATTAAAAAAATTAAAAAGTGATCCGACTGACTCAGTAACCCAACTACTGAGTTAGCCAGGTTATCTCGGGTTGACCCCAGGTCAATCGGGTCAATGGCTAGTTGGCTTAGGTGAAAACTCAAACTAAAAAAGAGAACGGATCACTGGTTCACAGACTGAACTGATCGGTCCAATCTAGATTTTCATATAATGGATAATATATATGAGTCCAATCAATGCAAGCTATAATTCATTGGCCAATTAAAAAAAGGAAGCTGTTGTTGTTATTGTTATCATTATTATCAATATTATTTTATTATTAATAGGTATTATTCTATTAAAAGTAATTTTATTTGAGATATATTTGGACATTAAATATCAGCACGTCTTAAAACTTGATTTATTACATTTTGACGGATTAGTCCCTTCCCCTTGACTCAACACCTGTTGGCATTATGATGGTGATGATGCAAATCTAATCTCTGAATTTGCAATCGGATTTGAGAAATATAATCAGGTCTAAAAAAAAAAAGAAAAGAAACGGAGATTTGGAAGATATGAAATGGAGGGCCACAAATGCATAACGCAATAATATACATTGAAGCTTTGACTTGTGTTCTCTAACATTCGATCTTTTTTTTTTTTTTCAATGATGTACACAAATTCATGGAATTAAATTGAGACGGACAACTATAAAAAAAAAAAAAATTAGCTTTTGGCAATTGGCATTTGGCAGTGACAAAAGCTGCCGCCAAAAATCAATTTCTTAGGTAAACATCTTCCCCACTAACTAATTCATTTCGCAAGTGCTTTATATTTTTTTTTTTCCTTTATTTTATTTTTTTGTGTATTTTCTTCATTATTATAACTATGGATACGTTATAAAAAATTTCAGCAATTAAAACTAAATCAAATATCCAATAATAATAATAATAATATATGAATAAAACTATATTGATACAAGGAAGGATTTTCTAGTAAGTGTGTTGGTTTTAGCAAAAAGGGCTATAATGTTTAAGCATAAAATTTC